GAAATGAAGCCCAAGATAAGTATCCAAATGTTTTTTTCTTTCATTCGATTGTTTCTAGCATACTTATAAAATGATTTCTATGTTGCTTTGTATGTCCCTCCCCCATGGTATAAACCCTGCCTACACTGTATTTGATGTTGGTATAATTTGTGGAGGGGAAGGGAGAAAACAACTCATTGAAATAGGGATACAGTTGGACCCATTGCAACAATGAGATGTAGAAGTTGTTATGTCGAAAAACGAACTTTACGGGTTTGGCAGATTGGGGGGGGAATGTATGGGGGTAAGGGAGCAGGAGATGGGAAGGGACAGGAAGGGGAAACAAAGGAGGAGGGAACAATGTTTGATAAGTAATGTACTCATTATTTTCCCCATGTAATTGTAAATCCTCTGTTCAGTATTTTCACAAATTAAAAAAAAAAAAAAAAAGAAAGCAGGTGGCATTAAGAGAAACCCCTCTGGCTATTGTGTGGAAATACAAAACAACTTTACATGCGACATCATTCAGGAAGTATTTCCATCCAAATTAGGCCATGGTGTTCAGGATCCCAGTGGATAAAACAACCAAGTTGTTTGCTGTGACCAGATGGCTGAGGATGGGGTCTGTGTACCTCACCTTCTGTTCAGTGAGAAGAGTGTAGCTGTAAAAACAGAGAGACAACATTTCCCCAGAACCCCTGCTGCAGTCTGAGTGCAGAAGGCAATCCCTATTTCCATGTTGTCTTGGGTCATCTCCTCCATATCTAAGATATAATTGACTCTATTGTAATAAAGGACATGAAAACAATCAAATTGCTAAAACATGCTAGATAGCCCGGTGCTGATGACTCTCGTTTATTATAGTAGCTAGGAGCTGGGATCTAAGATCATGGTTCCATATCTAAGGGTCGGTCACCCCAGTCAGCCAAGGAAGCAAAGGATTGTGATACAGTTATCTTCAATTAAGTACTCAAAACTCAAAAACAAAATTGTGTTGTGCCTCCAAATGGTCAAGGACCAGCCCTGTGCAAAAGAGCTCACACAGCACCCAGGCGTTAGTTCAAGCCTTGTGGCATCAAGAAACAAAACCAATAACAAAAACAAAAATAAAAGATTGCTAGCCCAGTCAGCAGCCAGTAAGTGTAACAACTCAGGACGCTGAGATAAATGAACACGGTTCATAGTCAGCCCAGGCAAAAGGTCTGTGAGACTCTGATCCCCACTTGATGTAAGGATACTGTGTATAACTGGTGCCATTTTGTCCACATGGTGTATGATAGGGAATTAACTTTTACTGGTGCCTTCTTGTCTTCATGAAGTCCCATCCCAACTTTGCTGTTGATATATTGGAGAAGAGTTTCATGATCTTTCCTGCTCGAGCTTGCTTTGAACCACAATCCTTAGATCTCAGCTTCCTGAGTAGCTAGGATTACAGGCTTGAGCCAACAGTTCCCAGCTCTACATGAATTTTTAACTACAATTAACCACCCAAAGCCAGAAGTGCAAGTGTGTCTCAAGTGATAGAACAGCAGCTTTGATTGAAAAACTAAGCAAGAGACAGAGGCCCTCAGTTCAAGGCTTTCAATTGGACATCCCACAGCACTGTGGTGTTTGAACGGTATAGGCTCCTCAGTGACTCATAGACAACTAGGACTCTTAATCTCCGTGCTCCTAAGCAATTCTCAAGGATGCAGAGAAGCATATATTAAGTGCCTCCTACTCATGAATATAGATGAATCTACCCATGAAATAGAGATTTTTGGTTAAAATTATTCATTTGGAAAAGAATCTCCTAAGCTAGGAACTCATCCCTATAATCCTTGTAACTCAGAAGATTAGGCTTGTGGATAGAAGTTCGAAGCCTTATTGGTACAATAAGTATACAGGCAGGAAAGTCCAGGAGATACTATTTCCCCAATAACCACCAGGATCATTGAAGTAGCAGCATGTCTCAATTGGTAGAGCCCTTGGCTTGAGCAAAATGGCTCAGGGACAGAGCCCAGGCCCTGATTACAAGCCCCATGACTGACAAATTAATAAGTAAGATGAGGGCAAGAATAATGAGAGAGAAGGCAGAGGGAGAGGTTACAAATGGAGGAAAATGGTTGGGATGGGAATGACAAGCCAAGGCATTAAAATTAATGTCAACAGGCTTCTTACATTCATATCATAAATTGTCATGTCGCAGATTATTCCTTGGCAAATCTGTTCCAATGTATATCTTCAAATAATATGTGATTACTTTAAATGAAAAGATAAATCACATTGAGACATTACTCATGACAAAAAGTTTACAGAGGTGTATTTTATCATTTCAGCAGAGAATGCTCTACCCCTGAGCACACAAAGCTGTGTGGTCTCCAGGATACGTAGAGATGTGGAGCTGCACTAAGACTGTGAACCGAGGCAGAAGAAAGGCCTGTGAATCTAACCAAACATTTTTTCCTAAAATGCAAGACATGTGCCTCATTCAAACCCCACACACCACACACATTTTACAGAGAAGTTACTTCTGCATTTTCTTGATGAGTTACATTAACTACTGTCACTTACCTGAGAAGAATAGATCCTTACCCAGTAGGAATTGGCTGTCAGGACAGAGGAGCAGAGGCAGTGGTCATGTAGCATATGTGCTCGGCCACCCCAAGAAAAAGGCTCAGGACTGAATGATCTCATCTGCTCTGTGGGCATGCTCATCATATCACCAGGAAGTGTGTGACACTGTGTTCATGGGGAACAGAGTTCCCTGTGACAAACACAGAAGAATGGAGATACTGATGAGCACCACTGAAACTCCACAACCATTTCCAACAGATGTGACCGATGAGAGAAGACAAAGAGAGAAAATAGATTCTAACAATTACAAATGACATAAAATAGATGAAAAGTATTCAGATGTCCAGAAACACTACTCTTGTCATAATTGACTGAAGGACGCGTGCTGATGGCTGTACTCCCAGCTACTCAGAAGGCTGAGATATGAGAATCATAGGTCGAAGCCAGCCCTGGCAGAAAAGTCTGTGACACCCTTCTCTCCAAGAAACAACTCAGAAAAGGCCAGAGGTGGCATTGGAGCTCAAGTGGTAGATAACGAGCCTTGAGCTATAGAAGCTCAGGGACAGCATCCAAGCCCTGAGTTCAAGCCCCAGGAAAAGAAAAAATGACTCAAGAATTGTAGTAACTGTGAATATCACGAGAAAAGGAGAGATTGCATCTCCAGTATAAAGCCACCCAACACAGAAAAGCCCATAGATACACACACACACACACACACACACACACACACACACACACACACACACACACACATACACATACACAAAGAGTTTATTGATCTAGATTTACATCACCACAGTGAAAGGATGTGTATTTTAGGACAAGTTTTGACTAATTTAATAAAGTTAATAATTGTGAATTTTTTGTCAAATGCATACTACATTTTCATTGAACATCAACTAAATTAGCTTTGGAATGACCAGATGATATTGTGCATGAGGTTAGGCCTCACAATGAATTTGTCCTAATTTTAGGACAAAGATGGAATTCTAGGCTCGTCCTGCATTACAATTAGGAACCAGAAGTGACACAAGTTTGCTGCTTGACCTGTCACCATGTCTCCTAGTCCAAGTCAAACATGGAGGATGTCTTCAGATTTCCGAAATTGCCGTGATCCAGAGGAAAGATCTTTCTAGACAACTATATTTAGATGAAGATGCTGGATCTAAGTATGTTTGAAGTTAAGGTTTTCAGGTATCCAGATGAAAAAACAACATCTAATAACATTTTGTTTTGTGCTAAATATTGAACTTTATTTCCACACTTAATATTTCCAATATTACAATTATGCAACATAATTTATTAGGTAATGAAGAAAAATTGAGCATAATTCCTGTATAATAGGGGGAACAATTCATCTTCTGATACCTTTATTACTCCTAAGAAGACAGCAATTGTGCCTTTCCTTATTCATCATTTGCTTAGTGAACTAATAGTAAAATATTATGAGAACTCAATAACTGCATCGAAATTTTCTTGTATGTTTATTGTGTTGTGGTTCTGTCAAAAAAAACCTCAGGGTCTTGTGTAGGCAAGTGCTTCACTGCTGAGATACTCTCTTGGCCCTCTTTTGTCCATTTCACACAGATTCTTACAGAGTTCCTTCTATTATATAATCATTCAATAATGATAAATACAAAAATTTCTGCCAGGTTCTTGTGGTGCATACCTGTTATCCTAGCTCTTCAGGAGGTTGAAATCTGAGGATTGGGCTTCAAAGAAAACCCAGGCAAGAAAGCTTGGGAGACTCTTATCTCCAAAGAACCATTGGGAAACCAGAAGTAGAGCTGTGGCTCAAAATGGTAGAATATTAGTCTTGAGCAAAAGAGCTCAGGGATAGCACCCAGGTCCTGAGTTCAAGCCCCATAAATGACATAAGAAACATCATAGTAATAATTTAATGAAAAACGGATCCAAGATGTATGGAGTGGATCATATCTGTAAGACTGAATCAGGAGATTTAGGTTTAAGGAAAGCCCAGGCAAACAGTTCATAAGATTCCATCTCAAGTGCTAGTTGGGTGTGGTGGTATTCACCTGTCATCCCATCCATGTGGGAGGCTGAGATTGTGATGGTTGCAGTTATAGGTAAGACTGGGTGAAAAATTCTATTTCAACCAAAAACCACCTCAATATCTTAGTTATTATCTGTCATCCCAGGTACTTCAGGAAACATATAATAGTGTACAAAGAAAGACCATATCTCAAAAATAACTTGACTGAGAAAGAACTATGCATGTCTCCAGTAATCAATCCCCTACCATTGCAGTTCAGGGCACAGAGTATAAACCCCAGTGCTGCCAAAACAAATTATTATCCAACTGTAAAATCTGATGTAACCAAATTAGGAAATTCATTTTTAGTTCAAATATAAAACACCTGAATGACACAGGTGTCTCTGCTGATGAGCACAAAGGGGCTCAGAACTGAGAAATACGCATCCAGGAACACAGCTGAGTCCAGGAGCTATGGGGATGGCTTCTTTTGTGAACTAAACCAAACAGTGAAAATGGCAGAAAGGCAGTAGACAGAGACAAACATGCTCACCAGGGTCAGGATGGTGCACGTGGCCATGGCCTCGTGGTCAGGTCTTTGGGAGGGAATGCTGCTGTGAATGTGCCGGACCCTCTGCTTGTGTCCGTGCAGGAAAAGTACCATGGAGCCACTGGCCCACATCATGAAACCCAAGCACATGACACCAATGGAAATGAATAAGACCACCTGTAATAAGGTTGTAAATGGTTGTGGTGGGCCTGTGGTGCAGTATCTATAACCCATGCGCAGAGTGACATTTTCTTTGTGTCTTGACCAATCACTCTCAGAAGCATATAAACATTTACCAGGAGCTGCAAGATCCAGAAAAGGGAACAACAGACACAAAAGCACTTGGAGAATCTAGAAGTGATCTTTCACCAAGCTTTCTAGTGCAAATCTTTGAGACCTGGAAGCCACTCAGAAGGCAGGTGGCTTTAAGAGAAATCTCTCTGGCTATGTTGGAAATACAAAACAACTTTGCATGTGGCATCATGCCAGGACAATGGCCTCATCCTGTCTGAGGGATTCTCCTGGATTTTGTTTTATTCCCTGGATAAAACAACAAAGTTGTTGGCAAAGACCAGATGGTGGCAGATCTGGGCTCTGGGTTTCATCTTCTGCCCTTCCAGTGAGGAGGGTGTAGTTCTAAAAGCAAAAAAGATAGGAGTTCCCCAGGATCCCAGCTGCAGTCTGAGTGAGGAAGGCAACCCCCATCTCCATGTTGGCTTGAGTCTAGGAAAAAATCATTTTATTTTGAGACAAAAAATACAATGAAAAACAAACAAATAACTATTACCATGCTAGCTAGCTGGTCACTGGTGACTCACACCTTTAATCCTAGCTGCTCAGGAGGCAGAGATCTGAGCATTGAGATTCTAGATCTCAGAATTGTGGTTAGACGAAGCTAACCCAGCCAGAAAATTCCCTTGGTACTCTTGCCTTCAACTAACCACTCAAAATCAGAACTACTGTTTTGACTGGAAATGGTGGAGCAGTAGGCTTCACATTCGACCCACGCCTTAGTTCAAGACACTTGGCAATTTAAAGAAAAAGAAACTATCCAAGCCTGGTACCAGTACTCCATGCAAAGCAGGAGGCTGACATCTGAGGATCACAGTTCAAGCCTGCCTAGGCAGGAGGTCTCTGAGAGTCTCATCCCCATAAAATTAAGATACTGGGTCAACTTGTTGCTAAAGAGGCCGCTGGCACCACCTTGTCTTTGTGATGGAGGAAGGTGAAATCCCACACACAGCTTATAGGGGCCTGAATTCCTAAAGGCAGTGGCACAGACTTGGAAAATACATACTGGAACTGTGAGACCTGTACCTTGAACTTAACCCTTGATCTCCCCATGACACTGCCCCATGACCCTGACCCTCTCTAGGCCTGGTCCACCTCAGACTCCATTACAACTTGCCTCCCTCCTGATATTCTCCTCCAATCACGATTGGCAATCCCAATTCACCTCTTCATTGGAGCTGCTCTGGTTTGTTGATGCTGTTTTTCAGCTCTGTCTCCTCTTGCTAGCCCCTTTTCTGAAGATGTTAAGTGTATTTAAAGGGCTGCAGGTTTTTGTGGCCCAAGTCCACCTGCATTCTTTGGCTGTCCTAAAAGACTCCCAACTCAACCTCTCAAAATGTGGCTTCTCTGTTTCTCATGACTGAGTTTCCATACCACACATTAATCTACAAAAAAAAAAAAAAAACAACAGACGTTGTGCCATATTGTAATGGTACAGTGCTAGCTTTGAGCAAAAATCTCATGTATAATGGCCAGGCTCTGAGTTCAAGCCCCAGGACCAACAAAAATAACAAGAAAAGAATTCCATGAAATGTTATTTAAGAGCATGCTTAGTGATACACACAAATACTTGATAGAATGGGGAGATATCAACCAACATTTTATCTTTAAGGAACATTACTTCTTTTTTTTCTTTTTCTTTTTTGTCAGTTGTGGGGCCTGGGTGCGGTTGCTGAGCCCTTGTTTGCTCAAGGCTAGTGCTCTTCCATTTGAGCCATGGTTCCTGGTTTTCTTCTGGTGAATTGGAGAGAAGAGTGTCAGGGACTTTCCTGATCAGGCTGGCTTCCAAGCAGGATCCTCAGATCCTGAGTAACCAGGATTAGAGACATGAGTCTGACAAGGAACATTTTTTCTTACAACTAAGGAGATTATCTTGGGTTGTGAATGTGGCTTGGGGATAGAGTGTTTGCCTAGCATGCATGAAGGCCTGTGTTCAATTCCCAACTACCACATAAACAGAAAAAGCCAAAAGTGGTAGAGTGCTAGCCTTGAGCACAGAAAGGCTCAGGGACAGTGTCCAGGCCCTAAGTTCAAGCTTCAGGACTAGCAAAAAAAAGAAAAAAAATCAGTTTATCTTAGATTGTACTAGAGGTTGTCAAATCCCACCATCTTAGACTTTACTCTGAGCTTCTGTAACTCCATTTTTCTTTGTGACTCCATCTTAAAGAAAGGACAACACCCCTACCTAGTTCCTTATGGTTTGACATTAAAGATATAGTTATCCCTTGTTCACTGTTTCCTTTATGGTCTCTAGTTAACGATCAGAGATAGTCATGAAAAGAGGTCATGTTCCCCTTGCTCGATGCTTGCTTACAGCACTGATTATTGCCTGTAACATCCTGTTGGCTTGCACCTGCAGGAAAGAACCATAAGGGATTATCCACCCAGACTGAGGAAGGAGTTGGATTTTCTGCCTTTTGTTGTTGTTGTTGTCTGTTATGGGGTTTGAAATCTGGGCCTGGGCTCTGTACCTCAGCTCTTCAGTTCAAGGACAGTGCCTACCGCTTCAGCCATAGTGCCACCTCTCCTTTTCTTATTTTTAATTTTTTTAAATACTTGTTTCTAACATATTTATGAGTTCTTTGTTGCTTTGTATGTTCCTCTCCCATGGTATAACTCCTGTTTCCACCTCTACTTTTCTAATGGCTAATTGGAAATAAGAGGCTCATGGACATTCCTGCCTGAACTGGCTATTCATCATGATCCTCAGATCTCAGTCCCCTGAGTAGGTGGGATTACATGTGTGAGCCACCAGTGCCAGACTGGGTTTTTTGCTTTAAAAGAGGCCCAGAGAACAGGCTTAGGACTGCGATGGGGGAACCACAAAGTCTTAACCTAAGCTAGCTTAGAAAGACTTTCTATTGACTGTACTGTATGTCTGCATGGTCTCTTCTGGTGGTCCTCCTCACAACAAGAGAAAAGCAGTTAAAACTTGGTAAAACAAAAACAATTAATTATAAGAAACATGGAAAAAATGATGATTTCTTAATGTATCCACATCAGAAATAACAATAGAGACATACTTTATATGAAGGACACACAGAAATTGCACAAACTTCAATTTGGTAGTTTCATAGCAAAGAAGTATAGTCTGAATTTTCTTTAGAAATTTCAAAAAAGAAATCCAAAGAAGCCAGGAGACTGAGAGCTGAGGATTACAGTTTGTAGCCAGTCTGAGCACACAAATCCACAAGACATTTTATTCACAATTAACCCACAAAAGGCAAAAGTAGAAGTGAGTCTCAAGTGATAGAACAGCAGCCTTTAGAGAAAAACTAAGCAAGACACTGAGGCCCTGAGCTCAAGCCCTTACCCTGAACATCCAAAATGGCTGTGGACTCTGAATGCTCCAGGCTCTTCAGTGACTCAGGGAGAAGAGCACTCTCCATCTCTCTGATCATAAAAGTTCTCAGAGATGCAGAAAGGATGGGATAAAGTGCTTTCTGTCCATGTACATAGATAAATTTACCCATGAAATAGAGTGCCCATGAAAAAGACTGGTAAGGTAGCTCAGTGTTAGAGCACTTTCCTTGCATGTCTGAGGCCCTGGGTTAAATTCCTCAGCACCACATAAGCAAAAAGAAAGCCGGAAGTGGCGCTGTAGCTCAAGTGATACAGCGCTAGCCTTGAGCTGACGAGTTGAGGGACAGCGCCCAGACCCAGAGTTCAGGCCCCACGAGAGGACCCCCCACACACACAAAAAAGAAATAGAGTATCAGGTCAAAACTTTTCATCTGAAAAAGAACAACCGAATCTATACTTTGGAGTCCCATGGCTATTATCTTAACAATTATGGAGGCTAAGATGTCAGGACTGAGGTGTAGAGCCAACCCTGGGAGGAAAGTTAAGATTCTTATCTCCAAATAACCAACAAGAAAAACTAGAAGCAATGCTGTGTAGCAAATGTTGGAACACTATCCCTGCGTGAAAAGCTTAGGGACAGCAGCGAGTCACTGAGGACAAATCCCACAGCAAACAAAAATATTCTTAAATAAATTGTAGGGCAATAAGAGAGAAGACAGAAGAAAAGAGAACACATTGAGGAAATTGGCAGGAATGTAAATGACAAGCCAAATTATTTTTAATTAAAGTCAACTAGCATCATACATTCACATCATAATTTGTCAGGTCACAATTTCTTCTTTTGCAAAATCTCTTCTAATATCTATCATCAAATAATATACTATTGCTTTAAATGTATGGAGAAATCACATTGAGACATTAGTCGTGACAACAAAGTACGGGGCTGTATTAGATCGTTTCAGCAGAGAACCCTGTACACCTGAGCATTCAAAGCTGTGTGGACTCCAGGATATGGAGGGATGTGGAGCTGCACCAAGACTATTAACCAAAGCAGGAGACAGGCCTGTGACTCTCACCAAATATTTTTCCTAAAGTATAAAGACATGTTCCTCATTCTCCCCAGCACAACACCCACATTTTACAGAGAAGTTACTTCTGCATTTTCTTGATGAATTCCATTTACTACTGTCACTTGCCTGAGAAGAACAGCTGCTTACCCAGTAGGAATTGGCTGTTAGGATAGAGATGCAGAGGCAGTGCTCACAGCATGTGTGCTCAGCCACGGAGCCCCAAGATAAAGTCTCAAGACTATTTGATCTCATCTCCACTGTAGGTGTTTTCATCATGTCTCCTGGAAGTGTGGTGACACTGTATGCATGGGGAACAGAGCTTTCGTGTGACAAACACCTGAGAATTGTGGATTCTGATGAGTACCACTGAACTTCCACTAGCATTTCCAACAGATGTGACCCATGGTTAGGCAAGTGCAGGGAATATGGGCAAACTTTTGAATAGAATCTCATTAGAATTGAGTAGAGGATCAGGAAATCTACTGTATAAAACAGTGAAATTGAGCAAATGGCTTTGGTGAATTTTAGGATGATTTTTTTTCTTTTTTCTCCAAAATGTGGTTTCTTCCTTTAAAAAAAAACATTATCTTAAAGAATAAAAAACTGGGCACTGATACTGTTGGCTTATGCCTATAATCCTACCTATTCAGGAAGCTGAGATCAGAGGACTGCAGTTTGAAGCCATCCCAGGAAAAATAGTCCAAGTCTCTTATCTCTAAAAAAATACTCAGTCTAGCTCAGTACTGTTTGCTCATGCCTTTTAATCCTACCTACTCAACAGGCTGAGATATGAGGATCACAGTACAAAAGCAGCCCAGGCAAGAAAGTCCATGAGACTATTATCTCCGCTAAACCACTAGAAAACCAGAATTTATACTTTGATTAAGTGGGAAAGTGCTAGCCTTCAGGTAAAGGGCTCAGTCCTGGAGTTCAAGTCCCAGGACTGACAAAAACAAAACAAAAACTACTCAGACAAACCTGTAAGTGCACTGTGGCTCAAGTGGTTGAGCACTAACCATGCCCACAAAGAGACGCAGGACCAGTGCCCAATGGGCTGAGTTCAAGTTTCAGGAAAGGCTGGTGGAAAAAAAAGACAATATCCCAAGTGGAAGTACCGTGTACTATGTGATGGTTAACGATGCTTAAAATTATCAAAATGTTCCACATGATCACTTTTTCCAGCCATTTTGACCTTCTGAGATAGAGAATATAGAAAACCTGAATGCCACTCTTCCTCTAAACACAGCATGACCACATTGCCTAAATCTAAGATGCATCTGTATATGAAAATAGAAACCAGATCTGTGCTGAGAGGGAAACTTTGATCCCGACTCTACAAAAGGGAAAGACCCAAAAGTCTTCACCTGTCATCATTCCTTACAGAGCAAGAATATAATAGCAAGGTAAACACAATATGAAAGGAAAGAAGAAGAGCATAGCTATATAAGCAAGCTATAAAAGAGCAATAGAAAAGTCTGTGGTGGGCAGCGGTCACTCATACCTGTAATCCTAGCTACTCAAAAGGTTCTCTGAGAATTGCAGTTCAAATCCAGCCCAGGCAGAACCACCAAATGAACCACCAAAAACTGGAAGTAGCATGTTGGCTCAGGTGGTAGAGGGCTTTCCTTGAGCTAAACAGTTCAGGGAGAATGCCCAGGACCAGAGTTCAAGCCCCACCAACGACATAAAAGAAAATAAAGTCAGTTAAACCAAATGTTGGGTGTTTGAAAAAAATCAATGAATTGCACAAAACTTTTACTTAGATTGACAAAGGAAAAACCAGAAGATTCCAATTACTGAACCAAAAATGGAAGTGCACACATGATTTCTGACCTGTGCAAATGCAAAACAGAACTAGGAAACGTGGCTCAGGCCTATGATTTTAGCTCCTCCAGAGGCTGAGGTTAGGAGGATCACAGGTTACAATCAGAACAAGCACAAAAGTCCACAAGACTCCATCTCCAAAATAGCATAGAAGCCGGCAATGGTTGCTCATGTCTGTCATCTAGCTGCTCAAGAGACTGAGGTCTTAGGATCAGTGTTTGAAGCTAGACCAGGCAGAAAAACCTGTGAGAGTCTTATTTCAAAATAACCACAAAAAAGCTGGTGGTGAAGTTGAGGCTGAAATGGTAAAGAGATAGCCTTGAACACAAAAGCTCTCAGACTGCACTAGGCTGTGAGTTTAAACCCCTGGAATGACAGAACACAATGACAGAACAAAAACAAAAAAAAATCCAGTGTGAGAGTCATGGCTAAAGTGTTAGAAGACCAGTAGAGGAAGTAATATAAACTACCACAGGCCCTGAATCCATGTTCTGGTACCTGAGAAAAAGAAAGAAAAAGAGAAAAAGAGAGAAAGACAGACAGACAGATGTGCATGCATGCGTGTGTGGGCATGCAAAGACACACACACACAGAATGGATTCTGATAATTACATATAATTAGGAATGTTAAAGTTTCTAGGAGCACTACCTCTGTCAAAATTGACTCAAGGAAGCACACACTGTTGGCTCTTGCCTATAATCCTAGTTTTCAGGAGGCTGAGGTCTGAAGATCACTGTTGGAAGTGAGCCATGACAAGAAATTCATGAGACTCTTCAACAAAGTACTTAGAAAAGACCAGAAGTGGTGCTATGGTTCAAGTGGTGGAGTACTAGGCTTGATTTATCAAAGGTTAGGGAGAACATACATTACCTCAGTTCAAGCCTCAAGACCATAAAGGAAAAAAAAAGGAACAAGAAAAGAAAAACTTAATAAAAAATAGAAGGGAATCTGAGTAACTGAAGAAGAGATTGCATCTGTATTATAAGGCCTCCCAACTCAGACAAACTCACAGACACTCAGAAACACACACCCTATCACACACAGTTGTTTACCTATATTTGAATCACCACAATGAAATTAAATATATATATATATATTCTAGTAACAAATTATAGGAATTTAATAAAACTAAAACTTGTGAAACTTTGTGATAAGCAATGTACATTTTACTTGAACATTGACTAGATCATCTTTAGGATGACTGCTGATATTGTGCATGAGGTTAGGCCTCACACCGTGTCTGTCATACTTTTAGGACAAGGATGGAATTCTGGGCTGGTCTCAGGTTTATTTAGGAACCAGCAGTTTTACTGCTTGACTTTATACCATGTCTCCTGGTCCAGGTCAAACATGGTGGATGTCTTCAGATCTCTGACATAGTTGTGATCCACAGGAAAGACATTTCTAGATGACCCTTCTTTCCCTGAAAATGCTGGATCCTAATGAGTTAAAGGTAATAGATTTTCAGGTACCAATGTGAAAAGCCAACTAGTAATAACAGTTTGTTTTGTGCTAAATATTGAACATTATTTCCAAGTTTAATACTTCTACTCATTACACTTACTCAGAACAATTCATGAGGTCATGAAGAAAAATGAAGTGTAATTCCTGCATAATAGGGTGAAAACATTCATCTTCTGGTATCTCAGTTACTGCAAGTTAGCAATTGTACCTTATGCAATATTTGTTTAGTGAACTGGCAATAAAAGATCAGTAGGCCTCAGTAACTACATTGAAATTTTCTATAATTTTGTTTTATTTGAGGTTCAGGCAAAAAATTTGGGCTCTTGCATAGGCAGGAACTTCACCACTGAGATACTCCCAGTCTGTTTCACACAGATTCTTACAGAATACTTTCTATTATATACTCATTTAAGAATTTTAAAGATAAAATATATATCAGGTGCTGATGGCTCTTGCCTGTAATCCCAGCTACTCAGGGGGCTGAGATCTGAGGATTGCAATTGGAAGCAAGCCTGGCAGGAAAGTCCATGACATTCCTATCTCCAATAAACTACTCAGGAAAGGCCTGAAGTGGCATTGTGGGTCAAAATGGTAGAGTGTTAGCCTTGAGCAAAAGAGCTCTGGGACAGTGTCCAAGCCCTGAGTTCAAGTCCCACAACTAATTATAGGAGTAAAAATAATAATTATTGTTATTATTATTATTTAACTCAAAGATTGATCCAAGGTGGATACAGTGGCTTACACATGAAAGGTTGAATCAGGAGGATTCAGATCCAGGAAAACAATTCACAAGATTCCCCCTCCCAAAGTAGCGTGGTGTGATGGTGTACACCAGGCATACCAGCTATGTGTTAGCTGAGATTGGGATGTTTGTAGTGATAGGTCAGCCTGGGTAAAAACAATTCCCTAAGACTCTATCTAAACAACAAAACCTCAGCATCTACATTCACATCTCTCATTCCAGGTACTTCAGGAAACACAGAAAACCAGTATAAAGGTGCAAGCTGACCTAGCTACAAAGAAGGTTGTAGCTCAAAAAAGTAACCAGAGTGAGCTGGGATGGTGGGTCAGTGGTGGAGTGCTTGCCTGGTATGCATGAGGTCCTGGTTTGGATTATTAAGCACCACATTAATAGAGAAAGCTGGAAGTGGTGCTGTGGCTCAAGTGGTACAGCATTAGTCTTGAGCTAAAGAGCTGAGGAACACAACCCAGGCCCAGACTTCCGGCCCAAGGACCACAAATTAATAAATAACCAGATTGAAAAAGTTCTAGAGCAGGTCTTCAGTAGTAGAGCCCATGCCCTTACAGTGCAGAGTGTAGTGTGTAAATGCCACTGCTGCAAAAACAAAACTATGAACCAACTGGAAATTGAATATAATGGCTTGGTTTACGTGAATCATGAAAATCTTTTATTCAGTGCAGGAATGAAACACCTGAGTGATATGAGTGTCACTGCTGATGAGCACAAAGGGGTTCAGTAATGAAAAACATGCATCCAGGAACACAGACATGTCCAGCAGCCACAGGTCTGGTTTCATATTTAGACCAACACAAGGAGTGAAAATAGCAGAGGAGCAGTAGAAACAGACAAACCTGCTCACATGTGCTTGTGTATGTGCAGGACAAGAACCATGGAGCCATGGCCCTCATCATGAAAACCAAGCACATAGCATCAATGGAAGAGAATAAAACCATCTGTGATAAACATACAAATGGTTTTTATGGGGCTGCTCCTGTGGAGCAGTAACTATAATGCATGTACACAGTAATATTTTGTTTGTGTCTTGGGCCAATCACTCTCAGAGACCCAGAAACATTGACCAGGAGATGCAGGATCCAGAAAAGAGAACCACAAAATGCAAAGCCCTTGGGGAATCTAGTAGTGATCTTCCACCAAGCATTTCTCGTGCAAAGCTTTGAGACCTGGGAGCCACTCAGAAGGCAGGTGGCATTAAGACAACCCCCTCTGGGTACTCTGTGGAAATACAAAACAACTTTACATCCTGCATCATCCAGGAAGTACTTCCATTCCAAACCTGCTGTTGTCTGAGGGATCCCTCTGGATAAAATAACCAATTTGTTGGAAAGACCAGATAGCTGAGGACTGAGTCTATGGGCCTCACCTTCTGTTTATTGTGGAGGGTTTAGTTGTAAAAACAAAGGAACCCGGAGTTCCTCAGGATCCCTGATGTAGATCTGAGTGAGGAAGGCAACCTCCATTTCAATGAAGGCCTTGGTGATCTCTTCCATACCTAGGAAATCATGGATTTTATTGTGACACAAAAATAGCATGAAATCTGAACAAATATGAATGTGTTAGCCAAGCCAGATGCATGAGGATTGCAGTTTGAAGACGGTACAGGCAGAAATGTTCCCATCGGACTCTGTGTCTCAGGCCTAATCTCTGATTTTAAGCCCCGTTACCAACGGAAAAAAAGAATTCCAGGAAATATTATTTTAATTAATAGCATGATTGGTGATATACAAAAATACTTGACTGAATGATGAGGCAACAACCAACATTTTGTTTATGAGGATCATTATTTCCCTTTTCTTTTCCTATTTTTGTCAGTAGTGGGGCCTCAGTGCTGTTCCTGAGCTCATTTTGCTCAAGGTTAGTGCTCTTCCACGTTGAGCCACAGCCAATTCTGGCTTTTTCATGATGAATTGGCCATAACAGCCTCATGGGCTATTCTGCTGGGTTGGCTTTGAACCTGGATCCTCAGGATTTATCCTTCTGAATAGCTGGAGTTACTCTCCTGAGCCCAACAAGCAACATTATTTCTTATAATAAAGCAGATGAAAACAGCTAAAATTTTGTAAAGCATCACTTGGTTGTGAAAAGCAGAATGTCTTAATGCATTCACACCAGCATTAAATAGCAGCAGAGACATATGATAGACTGAGAAGGAAACAAAAGTAGTGCACAAAATTCAGTTTATACAAGAAACAACTTGTTAGAGTATCAGCAAACAAATATAATCTGAATTCACTCTAGCAGTTTCAAATAATTAAGAAATCCAAAGAAGCCAGGTGCTGGTGGCAGATGCCTGTAATTCTAGACACTTGGAAACTGAGATCTGAGAATTGCAGTTGGAAGCCAGCTTGGTCAAAAAATGTCCCAGAGACTCGTATCTCCAATACACTACTGAGGAGGTCAGAAGTGGCACTGTCGCTGAAGTAATAGAGCATGAACCTTGGTCAAAACAAAGCTCAGGAATAGTGCCTAGGCTCTGAGTTCAAGCCCCAGGACTCGCAAAAATTAATAAATAAAAAATATGTAAGTAGTTGTGTTAAATCATTTCAACAGAGAATGCTGTAGCCCTGAGCACACAAAGCTGTGTGTTCTCCAGGATACGAAGGGATGTGGAGCTGCACAAGATTGTTAACCGAGCCAAGAGAGAGACCTGTGACACTCCCCAAACTTTTTCCTAAAATTCAAGATATGTTCCTCATTCTAACCGCACACAGCACACAGCACACACCTTTTACATAGAAGTTACTTCTGCATTTTCTTGATGAGTTCCATTGACTACTATCACTTGCCTGAAAAGAATAGCTGCTTACCCAGTAGGAACTGGATGTCAGGACAGAGGAGCAGAGTGGTCACAGTATGTGTGCTCAGCCAAGGAGTCCCAAGAAAAAGACCCAGGACTGTGTGATCTCATCTCCTCTGTTGGCATGCTCATTATATCACCTGGAAGTGTGCTGACATTGTGTGCATGGGGAACAGAATTTCCATGTGACTAACACTGGAGAATTGTGGATACTGATGAGCACCACTGAACTTTCACGACCATTTCCAACAGATGTGACCCACGGTGAGGGAAGTTAGTGGAATATGGGGAAACTTTTGAAGACATCTCGTTAGAACTGAGTAGAGGAAAATGAAATTATTGTGTAAATGTATGACACTGTATGAATGGCTTTGTTGAATTTGTAGTTTTTTCCCCTTTGTCTCTAAGATACAATTTCTTTCCATAGTAAACCACCATGATTTTAAAAAAGCCAGGTTTCTGTGGCTCATGCCTGTAATTCTAGTTACTCAGGAGTCTAAGCTCTGAGAATTGTAGTTCAAAGGCCACATAAGCAGAAAAATAGATGAAACTCTTACCTCAAATAAGCCACTCAGAAAAAGCTGGAAGTGGAGTTGTGGCTCAAGTGATAGAGCACTACCTTGTGAAAAAAACACCCTTGGGGCATTGCCCAGGCCCTGAGTTCAAGTCTTAGTACATGTTAAAAATGTACTCATTACCTTCCTCATATAACTGTGACCCCTCTGTACAGTATTTTTACAATAAAAAACATATAAAAATGCTATATCCCAAGTTGAAGTGCTATATCCTGACCAATATTCAAATAATCAAGGCCCAAAACAAGTTTTACAATAGTATTTTTCATGTTTCCCCAGTATCTTCGTAGGTACCTTCTTAGACTTCTTATATGCTTACTTATTCCAGACATTTTGACCTTCTAAGGTACAGAGAATACAGACATGTCCTCCTCTAAAAACAGCGTGACGATATTACCTAAAAATAAGGGGCATCTGTAGATTTAACTAGAAACCAGGATGGTTCTGAGGGGGAAATGTATAATTTACATCCTGTCATTACAAAAGGAAAGACTGAGAAGTCTCCACCTGTCATCACTCCTTACAGAGCAAGAAAATAATAGCAAGGAAAACACAATATGGAAACAAAGAAGAAGAGTATAACTATGAATGCAAGATGAAGACAGAACAATAGAAATAAAAATCAGTGAAACCAAATGTTGGGTGTTTGAAGAAAAAAAAGCCAAGGAAATAGGCAGAAATTTTACTTTGATTGGTAAAAGAAAACCAGAAGACTCAAATAACTGAGCTAGAAATGGAAGTGTAGACATGATTCCGGACCTGTGGAAATGCAAAACAGAACCAAGAAAGGTGGCTCAAGCTTATGATCCTCGCTTCTCAGGAGGCTGAAATTAGGAGGATCACAATTTAAAACGAGAACAAGCACAAAGTCCACAAGACTCCATCTTCAAAATAGCCTACAAGCCAGGCAGCAGTGGCTCATGTCTGTAATCTTAGCAGGTCAGGAGGCTGAATTCTGAGGATCAGTGTTTGAAGCTAGGCCAGGCAGAAAAGCCTGTGAGACTCTCGTCTTTATTTAACTACCAACAAAGCTGGAAGTAAAGCTAATACTCAGACAGTAGCGAGCTAGTCTTGACCCAGGACCCAAGTTCAAACCCAGGATTGACAAAATACTAAAAGAAGAAGAAAAATCTGGGCTTGAGGCATGGCTTAAGTGATAGATTATCAGTTGAGTGAACAAGATTAGCAAACATGGGGCCCTGAATTGAAGTCCTGAGTCAAGGAGAGAAGACAGAGAGAGAAAATGGATTCTAACAATTACAAATGACATAAACTAGATGAAAAGTATTCAAGTGTCCAGAAACCCTACTCTTGTCATAATTGACTGAAGAAGGTCGCATGCTTGATGGCTCACACCTGTACTCCTAGCTACTCAGAAGGCTGAGATATGAGAATCACAGTTTGAAGCCAGCCCTGGCAGGAAAGTCTGTGATACTCTTCTCCCCAAGAAACAACTCAGAACAGGCTGGAGGTGGCACTGTGGCTCAAGTGGTAGAGGGAGAGCCTTGAGCCATAGAAGCTCAGGGACAGCATCCAGGTCCTGACTTCAAGCCCCAGAAAACGAAAAAAAGATTCAAGAATGGTAGTAACTGTGACTATCCCAAGAAAAGGAGAGATTGCAACTCCATATAAAGCCACCCAACACAGAAAAGCACAGACATACAAACACATAGACACATACAGAGTTTACTTACCTTCATTTGCATCACCACAGTGAAAGGATGTGTATTTTAGGAAAAGTTTTTACTAATTTAATAAAGTTACAAATTGTGAATTTTTTTGTCAAATGCATACTACATTTTCATTGAACATCAACTAAATCAGCTTTGGGATGACCAGCCTTACACTGTTTGTCCTACTTTTAGGACAAAGATGGATAAGACTACTTGTAATGAAGTTGTAAAGGGCTGTGGTTGGCCTGAGGTGCAGTATGTATAATGCATACTCACAGTGACATTTCGTTTAGGTCTTGGGCCAACCACTCTCAGAGGCACAGAAACATTTACAAGGAGCTGCAGGATCCAGAAAAGGGAACCACAGAATACAAAGCACTTGGGGAATCTAGTAGTGATCTTCCAACAAGACAAGCATTTCTACTGCAAAGCTTTGAGACCTGGAAGCCACTCAGAAGGCAGGTGGCATTAAGAGAAACCCCTCTGGCTACTCTGTGGAAATACAAAACAACTTTACATCCAGACTCATCCAGGAAGTACTTCCATCCAAATCCTGCCATTGTCTGAGGGATTCTCCTGGATAAAACAACCAAGTTGTTGGCAAAGACCAGATGGTGGCAGATAGGGTCTCTGGGCCTCATCTTCTGTCCGTCCAGTGAGTAGTAGTAGCTATAAAAGTATAGTGTAGCTAAAAAAGCAAAAAAGAGAGGAGCTCCCCAGGATCCCAGCTGCAGTCTGAGAGATGAAGACAACCCTCATCTCCATGTTGGCTTGAGTCTAGGAAAGAATTCATTTTATTGTGAGACAAAAAATACAATGAAAACAAACAAATAACTATGACCATGCTAGCTAGCTGGGCACTGGTGACTCACACCTTTAATCTTAGCTACTCAAGAGGCTGAGATCTGAGCATTGTGATTCTAGATCTGAGAATTGTGGTTAGACGAAGCCAGCCCAGCCAGAAAATTCCCTTCACACTCTTACCTTCAACTAACCACTCAAAATCAGAACCAGTGCTTTGGCTGGAAGTGGTAGAGCAGTAGGCTTCACATTGCACCATGCCTTAGTTCAAGATCCTTGGCAATAAAAAAAAATGCTATCCATGCCATGCAGCACTAATCCTCGCAATGCAGGAAGCTGAGTTCTGAGGATCACAATCAAGCCAACCTAGACATGTGATCTGTGAGAGTCTCATCCCCTGAAATTAAGACACTGGGTCAAACTGTTGCTAAAGTGGTCACTGACACCATGTTGTCTTGGTTGTGGGGGAAAGTGAATTCCCACACACAAAGATAACGGGGGCCTGACTTCCGAGAGGCAGTGGCATGGACTTGGACAATAGATCCTAGATCCTGTACCTAGAACTTGACCCTTGATCTCCCCATGACCCTGACCTTCTCTAGGCCTGGACCAGCTCTGGCTCCATTATGCCATGTCTCCGGCTCCT